GAAAAAAAGAGAAATATGCGAAAAATAGAAGAAACTGTAGTCTAAACCCACCTTGCAGCATTAACAAAAAATGTCGGTAGGTAATTTTACCTATAGAAACTACCCTAACACTAACCCTAAAGTTAATGAAAACGGTATATCACGTGATCTGCCCCGCTTTAAGGACCCTCCTTTTTTAGCACATTATCCAATCAGATATGAGATTTTGCGGACATACACCATTTTAAATGCCATATAACCATACACTGCATGAAATTTTCAATATCACTCCGTTCCTGGTATACTCTCATTGCATCCGTTCCTGGTACATAGTAAGAAATACAATAAAAAAATATTACAAAGAATATTTGAACCCAATTTTTTGTAACAACACGCACCACCATACTGGTAATTTAATTTTTTATTATTTTTTTGAATGAGAGTTTTTTTTTCTTTTAAAAAAATTTATTAAAAATTTTTGATCTTCATCGTGTCTGTCTGTGGTGCAGTTCTTTTATACAGAATTTGTTCTGCATAATGTTCGAGAGGAGTCTAATTTATGCACCCGACTGAAATGTATATCATGAATATAATAACAGACAAAATGATAAACAGTATATTATTTGTATTCTTTACAATAACATATGCTATTCAATTTAACAAGTATAGAGATTCGTCTAGTTCTCACACTGAAAGTCTATCGCCAAAAGAAAAATCAATATAACAGTTAAAATTTTTATAGTTATATTATACTGCATCAGCGCATGTTCTATTTTCATTGTCGAGGTTAAAGATTATATAAAGATTATTTTAAGTACCATAGTGAATAATTAATATTGCACATGTAAGTTGGAAATATTACAAGGTTTTGTCGACCAAATTCGTGTTTCAATCAAATTTGTATATTTTGATTTTCATTGACAACTCGCGATCTGTGATTTAATCATGATAATTTTGATTCATTTTAATCCTCTCAGTGAGAGGCTTCAAATAGTATCAAAATCATTAAGATTGAATCACTAGATCACGAGTCATCGATGATAGATCAAATACGAATTTGATTGAAACATGAAATTGGTCAACAAAACACAAATATGTATTAATGATCATATCGGCAAGGATTCTTTATGAAATTTAATATAAAGTACAAACATCCATAATAAAAAATGTCACGGATGATCGTGAAATCAAACCCTATCTAATATACGATTTTAAAAAAATTTTAGGGTATATTTTTTTAGCCTTTTTTTTTAAATTTGGACTAGGATTTAGGATTAGAGTTTATAATAAAAGAGTATAGGTGGGGTTTAGTAGGGTTTATATTTTTAAATCAAGGCCCCAGATTAGTGATGAGGGCCGATGCCAAATGCTTGGGCCAACCCGGCCGACTATATAATTAAATTAAATCTCCTATCGTAACTTAATATAAAATTGCCATATGTCCGAAACTCCCCGCCGAGCATGCTCGTGTTTTGTGTTGGTTGATTATCCACATCCCGAAATGTTCCGATATTACTCTACCTTTTCTTTAACTTTGACTTACAGCTGTTATCATTATTCCTGGGACACCTGGCAAAAAATTAGCCCGAATGATTACTCTGCCGATTCGATAAGTTATTGATTTCGGTGTGATCTGTGTACAAAAGCAATCATGTCAACAAGTTCTCCATTATTAAATTTTCGCTTGAATACTTGCCTAACATGTCTGGGTCTGGTGTGTTTAGTTTGTACGAAATTTTATGGAAAAGACTGTTCTTGTCAACCAATAAATCTTAATAAAAAACATAAAAAAGTATCCAAATATAAATTAGACTTTTGTAACAAATATATTACACGAACAGGTGCCGCTATTAAAAAAGTTAAATATGAACATGAATTTGTTGACTGGTTTAAAAATGAAAAATTAATCTCTGGTTAAGATTCCAAACGACCAAGATATTATTAATATTTGTTGAGAATGCATTAAGAATTATGATAAACGAAATCCAAGTAGAAAATTTCATATGTTTATATATTTTTCGTCTTCGACAAGAAACGAAAAATAATTAGAATAAATAATGCTTTCGTTTGAACGAAAATCTATCTTGCCAAAGGATAGGAATTGAAACTTGTTTTTTTTTTAAAACGGATTTTTAATCATCTACAAGAAACGAAAAATAATTAGAAAATAATTAGAAATAAATAAATGACTTCGTTTGAACGAAAACGGATCTTGCCAAAGAATAGAAATTGAAGTTTTATACAATTCTTTAAAACCCAATTTTCGTCGAAAAATAATTAGAAATGAATAAAGTCTTCGTTTGAATGAAAATGGATAATAGGAATTGAAATTTTACGCAATTTTTTTAAAAACGATTTTTCGTCGAAAATAATTAGAAATGAATAAAGACTTTATTTGAACGAAAACGAATCTTGCCAAAGAATAGGAATTGAATTGAATTTTACACAATTTTTTAATAATTAGATCTTGTCAAAGAATAGGATTTTAAACAACTTTATAAACACGAATTTTCGTCGAAAAATAATTAGAACCGAATAAAGGCTTCGTTTAAGCAAAAATGGATCGTGCAAAGAATAAGATTGAAATTTTACAACTTACAAGTGTGCATGTCAATATTTAGTCTTATTGTAATATATATTAGTCGTCTGATCATATTGAATTACGTATTTGACATATCGGTATTTGTTACTGAATCTTATTATTATTATTCCGAAATATAAAACTTATCGAATTGGCAGAATAATCATTCGGGTTAATTTTTTGCCAGGTGTCCCAAGAATAATGATAACAGCTGTAATGTTGCCTGAATCTACAATTAATTCCAATCTAATTCGACAACTTACCAAAAGTTTGGTAAATTACATCAATTTACTTGTTAACTCATTGATGGTAATTTACTATTTACAACTCTAGTCTTATTTTAATCGGCCCCGGCCCGTGAAGGTGTGGGCTGACCCTCGGCCCGCCCGGCCGATGGGCCGGGGTCAGCCCTCATCACTAATTGGTGCAATTGCCATCAAGAGCTTGAAAAAAAAAGACAAAAAAGTTTAGACAATTCTAAACAACGTAATACAGAAACATCTTGGGAAATATGACGGTCTCATTCTTCAGAAGGGTTTGATAAGTTTATCTTTATATTATTATATGTATTATATTTTAGAAAAATAATTGAAGAAGCTGAAAAAGCCATTGGGAGAAAATTCACATATCACCTGATGATGCACAACTTCCTATAATGATTACTTCAACAGTTCTTGACAATAACGATAATAATATTGTAGAAGATGACGAATCAAATGAAGAAGAAAGCTAATTGGAAATTATAGATCAATACAAAAAAATTCTTTATGAAGTATAACCTATTTATTGTTTTTATCAAGTTAAATTATACAGTATAATAAATAAAAATATCTAAATTTAATATCAATACTATTCTGATATCTTCGTGAAAAGTCTTATAGCCTTCCATAACCAAAAAAATAGTTGAAAAATATTGAATCAATTTCATGCCAATTTAAAAGAAAATAGACGACATAAAGAATCTGAACCAAGTGAAAAAAATCTCAAGAACCTGGAACACACGAAATAAATATTTTTTTTTTAGTAAATAAAAATTCATTAACATTTATAATATAGTATATAGGTAATAATGATAATAATTTTTATATGTCGTAAATCTCAGACCAGACTTTAAACAGCGATTACGTAGCAGATCGTGGTAGTTATGCTAGGGGATTCTGTTATTACAATAAGGGTATCACTTCAACTTCATTATATTTTGTAACTCATTTTAAAATTCTTATATTTCTCTTTTAATCAATAAATTTTAAAAAAAATATGAACAACATAAAGTAGTTTTCTATTGTGTATTCACGGACTCACAGGACTCAAAAAACATTATGCAGGTCATCGATCCAACTAAATCGAAAAGAGCGATAAATTTCATAATTGGAATTTTTTTTTCTTTACGTACTGATTACATGTACATATGGGCTAGGTGCTGAGAAAAGGGACGAAATTGAAAATCTTTTAAAAGATGGGGGGTTTTTTTTTTTACATAAATCAATTTAGAATAAGATTAGGATTATTTTTCACTTAAGACAAAAATAGTTGTGTTAATTAAATTTTGCAAAATAGCTCCTCAAAGTTTGCATTTTCTTATGATTTATTATAAGATTTACAACATTAAAAATTGATTTTCTGATCTTTTTTTTTGTCAATTTCGTCTCTTTTCCCAGCACCTAGTCCATATGCACAAATGTATCTGCTACGTAACTTTTTACAAGAAGGGAAAGGGAAACTAAGAATTGGAAAAATACAAATAATAATACTGTAGCAAGATTTTTTTCACAAAATCGAAGGAAGAAACCTCTGTGCTAAAAGTTACATAAACTACTGCGAAAAAAAAAAATTTTTTTGAATGGCAAAAAGACTGCAAATTTTTCCAAACCTAAGCGATAATGAATTTTTCTCCAAGAACCAACTGAAAGATAATAAATCTTCCAACCAAAATAGATCACCAACTTATTCAAGGTGCTTCATTTTTTATGTACTGCTTGAACCACTGTGATTTTCTAAAAAAATAACAAATTAAGATTAAACGTCTTTAAAATTCATAACCAAAACATAATGTAAACCGAAAAAAAAATTACCCGAAGAGAAAATTGTATTAGTACAATGTAGGCACTTAAATTGGCGCTTCAACAATCACAACTATTTACTTTTGTTCTGTAGTAAATAGGAGAGGTGATACGGGATAAAAATCTCAAAGTATTTTCTCAAAACTTTCCAAGATAGACATATAAATTAAATATAGACCACGTCACTACTAGACTGAATTTGATTCGCAAATTTGATTAGGACACCATAAAACGTTAAGTCGGTGCTATATATAGATAGGAAACCAAATTATTGAGACAGATAGGAGACAACTTCATATCAACAAATAATGGAATCGTAAAAGCGATGCTATTTATCCAGCTAGCCAAATCAAATGTATCAATACTTCTATTGCAGTCAAAGAAATTTTGAACGTGTTTTTAGATCTTGAGCTTGGAAATTTTCCTTTCATTGTCATAAATTTTTCAGTTAATACTTTGTTTTTCTCGAGTTTTTGGTGAAGTAGATATCTAGCGATTTTATCTTGTTGCTCATCTATAAGGTCAGCCAACTCTTTAACAATGTTAGTCACATCTCCAGTTTCGGCATATACCATGTTGCGTGCTACCAACTCTAACATTTTGTTGTTCTCTTGAACAAAGAAGATAAGTGTATCTAACATTTCTTCAATGTCTTTTTTTAATAAAAATTAATCAGATTAATATTATACATTCAAGGCGAAAACTTAAATAAAATTTAAAAAACATCATTATTTACCGTTCCCAGTTTCATGGTCTTTGTTTTCTCTTAAGTCTATATCCAGAACTATACAAAAAAAGTTTAGACTTAAGTTCGAATAAATAAAAAAAGGTAAAGAGGAAAACTTAATTTACCAAGTGCTTTTTCAAAAATTTTTGATAAAAGAAAAAGGACGATAAAGCAAATGATTAAAGAACCCATTTTTTTTTCGTATGAGCTTTTATTAGGTTTAGGCTGAGATATTTTTTTATATGTGGTTATGATTGGTTGTGATTTTCAGAGGTTGCGATTTTTAGAGGTTTAAAAATAAGAAACTTTATAAAGTAAGGAACTTGTAAAAAAGAAAAAAAGACGTTTATATTAACAAATTATCGATAAATAACTTCAATATCTAGAAAAAAATCATTTGACACTATGATACTGCCTTATTTAGCAAGCATCACACGTGTTTGTTAGAAGGCCAGACCCCTCTCCTAGATGATCAATCATAAAGATTTATATACAACATATATTGATAGACTACTAATCCCCATGACCAGAAGCACATTCACATGAATTTATAAAGATTAGTGGTACTGGATCATGCCATCGACACGCTAACTTTTTAGGAAGTGGGGATCAAAAAAATTTTATTTAATATTAATACAGTTTAAAAAATTTATATATTGTGGGGACCTCTACTGATAGCAAATAAAAAGGATGTGACTCATCATATATGCTCACGTAAGAATATCGATATACTATATGTGTTTTACAATAAGTTACTACTTCGGTCAACACTAAGGTTTATTATAGTACTTGTAAAAATTTGCGTTTATTAATAAAAAATTTGCAAACACAATTTATCGGTATAATCAAAGGAGTTTCAACAATATAAGGAAAAGATTATTCTTTTGAAAAATAATTTGATTAAATCGGTTTTAGTTTTTACCCGATATCACTTAAATAATATTATGTGGAAATCCAAACCGATCTGACTTCTGGCTTTAGATAGTGAAAATTGTTATGTTAACTTTGCTAAATAATTAATGGTTTTTACTATAGGTTGAATCGTAACACAAGAATTTTTATCAATTGCTAAGATCATGATCAGACGTAATTTTCAAATGATAACGATAACACAAAAATTGTGCAGCGATATATGTAATTTACTTTTTTTTCTACTTAGAAACTTGTAATGAAGTTCTAACTGATTAAAATTACGCTGGAAATTCTGATATTTACAATAGATTTTGTGCACTAATGAAACCGCCTTCTATCACTTGATTAAAAATACTTCCTGTGATATTTTATCTCTGTACAACATACTATTCTTAACCTTATTACAGTAAATAAATGATTGTGTAACAATTGCATGCCGATCTTTTGCATATAGGTAATTACTATTAAAAATTTTAAAATATTCAACAAAGAATAACTTTTGACTCGCTAGTTCATTTTAGATGATTTTACCACAGAAATGACCATCACAGCGAGACGATTCTAAAGAGCCTAAAATAATAAAAATTCAATCACCGAGTCCTGAAATCGTTAACGTTTGTTTACATCGGGTAAAATAGGATGGGTTTAATCTATCCCATTTTACCCTATGTAAGCAATCTCTCGGGATTCAGTGATTAGATTTTGAAGATTTTGGGCTCTTCAGAATCACCTCGCCGAGAAGGTCATTTTGGTGGTAAAATTGTCTAAAATGGACTAGTGGGCTAAAAGTTATTCATTGTCGAATATTTTAAAATTTTTAATAGTAATTACGCAGATCCGCCGATAATCGAGTGGCGCCTAGACAAAATAAAATCTCGTTTTGATAAGCGATTTTTGGATTTTCTTTGTCAACGTTTATTCATTTAAGTATTATAAACAAAAAAGCCATATCTAACCTTTTCTTGGAAATTAACTATTCAAATTTTAACAGCATCCACCTGATCGACCAATCAGACTAAAAGATCAAGTGTAACATAAAATCAAAAAAGCCTGCAGCTCATAATTTTGCTAATGAAACCTCCTTTCGTGTTCTAACAAAAAAATTACTCGCCAAATTTTGAGTTTAGTTTTTTCGTACCCGGACCTCAGAGAAAGAAATTTATCTGATTAGCTAGTGTAGATGGGTAACTAACTTACGTACAGTACGTACGTATATGTTTTACAGTACTTTTTAGAATGTAACGTTTCACTAATGAAAATCACTCTAAATAACATTAATTCAGCGAAGTACTGTCAGACTCCCGAATAACTTAACTTAGAAGACAAGGTTATTCGCTTTTTATTCGACCATACAAATTATACCATAGAATAAGGTAACCAGTAACGTTTTTGTTTGAAACTACCTGAGCACGTTAGATTTAAATAAATTTTATTACTAATTATTTAATTTGAATAAAAATATCTTATAGTAGAAAGAGGTTCAGGTTTATTACTTGAATATATTCTGTTTTTGCAACTTGTTTGGGTTTGTCAATCGTAATGAACTTTGGTCTATATATTGTAAATTGTATTAATAAGTTTGAACTTATTCAAAATATTCGAAATAAATATCATTTTTACCCATTTTATGAGTTCTACCTATTCTTTAAATATACGAAATTAATTAATTCTTCTGTATATTTATTAATTTACGAGTTTCTTCATATGAAGTTTTTTTTTGTTTTCTTAGCTATATTAAATAAACGAATCTTTTAAAAAATTATATGGATGAATCCATAATAATCGACCAATTAGACGAATTTCTTCCTTTGAACCCGAACCCTAATCACTCTAAACTAAATTAACAAGCTTTTATTCACTGTTTTGATTTTACGTTACATCTGATCTTACTAGGTGTGTCACAACTCATTTTTTTATTTAATTTTATAATTTTATTTATACAATTGAAATAAAGAAATTTATTAATTCTGAATAGTTGAATGTTAAGGAATCTTCATCTAAATTAAAAAATATTTTTTTCTTAAATTTTTACTTAAATTTCTTAATAAAGCCCATATTTGTGTATTACGCGCCTATACGCTAAACATATTATTAATAAAGATCAGCGCATAAGACTTTAGTAGCCCTACTGCAAATAAAATGCAACACATTAGCGATGACTATATTTATGAAGCACAGGACAATTATGTAACTTTTTGTGACATCGCTTATAATTATCAATAAATTACAACAAATTTATTATTCTATGATATAAAGTTTCTACGGAGAAACTACAAAACTTCCGAGTGAATACATCGGAGCTGGCTGACATTAAGCAATACTAACCAACCAAATTTATAGCAAATCTAGACATTTTACTTAATAAATCCGTTAATTGAATTTTAGTTTTGGTTTGTTACACCAAAATACAAATGTGCATGCAGCTAGACATGAAAATTACATTTTTGATACGTAGACGATATAAGTCAATTGATGAACTAATCAAAAATGTAACTATTGTATTACTCTGACATGCATTAAATATCCTCCGTTACGCTCCGGAAAATTATCTTGTTTAGCGTGTTATTTTTTTTCTTTAAAGAAAAAAATGGATTCTGAACAACTTCGTATACTTGGTTGCAATCATGAATATGGTATTGATGTTAATAAAGACGAAAAGAAAGCTTTTGAATATTATATGAAAGCATCTGAGTTAGGAGATCCAGATGCGATGAATGATGTTGGTCTTTGTTATGATGAGGGAATTGGAGTAAAAAGAAATTACCAAAAAGCATTTGAATATTATAAGAGATCGGCTGATTTGGATAATGATGTTGCAACAGGTAATGTTGGGTTTTGTTATGAGAACGGGAGAGGAGTTGATAGAGATTATAATAAAGCATTTGAATATCATAAAAAATCTGCTGATATGGGCTCTAACGCAGCAATGTATAATGTCGCTCGATTTTATCGAAACGGAATCGGTACAAAAAGAGATATAAAGAGTGCAAATTATTGGATCACAAAATATAAAAGTTTTTTGAAAAGTAATAAATCACCAGATCATGTCAATCCTGAACTTAAGCGAATATTAGATGATGAGAGATTTAAATTATCTTGGATTGATTATAATGAGTTAAAAGTCAAAGCAAAATGTGGAAATGGAGGATTCTCAACCGTATATGTGGCAACTTGGTACGACAGTCTTAATAGTTTATGGTGGGATGTTGCACTTAAAGTTATTCATGATTCAAACAAAAATGAGCAAGAATTTATCCAGGAATTGAAGAATTACTGTGAAGTTGGCTACGAAAACCCTTCATTCTTGAACTGTTATGGTGTATCAAGAAATGATCGTGGTGATTATATTATTGTTATACAGATTGCACCAAAAGGTTCGTTACGAAAAAATCTTGTGCAAGTATCACAATTAGAGTGGAAGGATAAAGTGAATATTTTGTACTGTATAGTTTTGGATCTCGAGGCGATTCATTCACAGGAACTTGTTCACAGAGATTTACACAGCGGAAACATCCTACAAGAAAATTTGCATAATGCTTATATCACTGACCTTGGACTTTCTAGAAAAGTAAATGAAGGAAAAATTTGTGGAATTCTGCCGTATATAGCACCTGAGGTTTTGGTTGGTCAACCGTATACTCAGGCATCAGATATTTACAGTCTTGGAGTTATCGCGACAGAGATTTCGACCGGACAAAGAGCATTTGATGGAATTCCATTTAATGGTGATCTTGTATCAAGAATCATCGGTGGATCAAGACCTAAATGTTTAGGACCAGATTGTTATATTAAATTGGCTATGAAATGTATGGATAAAGATCTTGATAAGCGACCCACTGCAACAGAAATTATTGAAACAATCACTCGTTGGTTAGATGAAATGGATCAGGAAGATGATAACGAAATCAAAAACCAATTTTCGGAAGCTAATAAGATTAAACCAGAAACTATTGAGAAAATACATTCACAAGACTTATATACTAGCAGATTATATGATATGAAAAATTTTTCTGAATATATTTAGTTAACCGATTAGTACTGTAGAAATAGTGATTAAATTCCCAAACTTAGATTTAAGATAAATTTCAAAATAATATGTACTTATGCAACTTGTACTACGAAGTGCAACTATTGTAATTTCTTTTTTTTTGGTTGTTAAAATTCCCGCAATCGTTTACAATATTACAGATATGATTTTATTTTGTTCTATTTTTAAACCTCCTGCTGTGATTGTCAAAGGACTTCATGTGGTGTGGTGTTCTAGATATAATGTATATTTT